ACACACTGGACCTTTAAAGCAGTTTGCAAGGAAAAAGGTTTGTAAGAAAAAGTCTCAATGGAGTAAACACCTGTTTCTTTTGCCACATGGAAAACTGATTGGTTCCTTGGATTGGTAAAACCGCATAAAAGAGGAACTGAAACCCCTGTGTTTACATCATTATCTAACACATCTTTAATCCAATCATACTTGAATGCAACTGTGGAGTCAGCAGAGGATTCACATTCACACCAGAAGAGAAGAGAAGAGAAGAGAAGAGAAGAGAAGAGAAGAGAAGAGAAAATCATCTACATATATAAAGATGGATGACGTGACTGCTCCCAGAAACTAAAGCTGAAACATCTACATCTACTAGCAGTTGACTTCTGAGGTGGAGACACAATGTCTAAACATTGTATGTCTATGACCTACACATCTATACTGTATAGCTTGTAAAACTGCAGTAGGTCACATATTAGCAGGTTTCTATGAGTGAATCTTTGATTAAATGTTGTACCCATGGACATGAGAGGACCAAATTTGTTCATAATATATTCTGTTATATATAATAATCAGACCACGTGTGTCAGTTCTACATGTCATGTTAAATTACCCACAGCATTCATCCAAATCTTATCCGCTTCTCACATTGATGAAATACATTCGTACCAGAGAGGAATAGTGGTAGAAAAACAAACACTATTTCTAAAGGAATGAATTATCCTGCATCAAAAAACTCTATTACCAAAAAGAAGACATTTTTAAAGGTGGTTGTTCATCCAATTTTATTATTATTATTATTTTATTCTAAATGAAAAACAGTTTTTTGTGAATGCATGTATAAATAGGGTTAGGCACTGGTAGGCGGTTAAAGCTCAAGCTTGAAAGAATCAGGTTAGTAAGTTAGTTCAGCAAGCAAGCTCACGAGTCACCCTGGCAGCATGCAACAGCCTCTGCAGTGTCACATTTACACCGATCAGCCACAACATTCTGACCACCTGGGCACCCTTGTGGTCCTAATGTTCTGCAGCCCCATACCAACAATCTGTGATGCATTGTGTGTTCTGACACCTTTCTATCAGAACCAGCATTAACTGTTTCAGCAGTTTGACCTACAGTAGCTCGTCTGTTGGATCAGACCACACGGGCCAGCCTTCACTCCCCATGTGCACCTATGACCCTTTCTCCGGTTCTTTTCCTTTCTTGG